TTTTGTTTTTCTTCAGCAGCTTTCTTCAATAATTCTTTCAATAATTGATTGTTTATTCTTTATTAAGAAACATCATAAATTCATAAAAATAAAGATATCAAATAAAATTAAAAAAAAAAAAAAATAATAATTTAAATAGCTTATATTAATACTGGGATCTACAAAATGGGACAGAAACATAAATTCCAATTTTGTTACGTTTCGTCAAGTGAAAAAAGTCCAACAAATGCAAAATATATACATAAGAAGTGAAACAGAATTGTATCAAATGACATAACATGCTACACATTAGTCGTTAGATGTTATATGACACATTGTAATCCCAGTATGAATCATCTTACAACGGATTTATAACATTTAACATGCTGAAATGCAATTTGAAGGTTTCTTTTCATGCTCTAAACTTGTTATTTCAGTGCTGGGCCACGGAATGAAATGTTTACCCTTCGTTGCCAGGATATGTGAACATTTAGACTTTGTATGTAAGCCTGACGTGTCACATACACATAGATGCCTGTGTGAAGACGTCATGTTCTTCGAACGAGGACAGTGCTCACCAAGTGAGATTTTTCGTTTGGACTAAATTGTAGATTCTATCTATTGAAAAAGTGACAACATAGTTAAGTATATAATTTTGAACAAATATCTTTGTCCTTAGAACATGATATAATAAGCAGTCATTGTTTTTTTATTTAACACTAATCCCTATTTCTTGAGTTGTTTACTGTGCTCTGTTCTTTGTGAAATATTTACGTGCCCTGTGCGCAGGAAAAGAAGGCCTTATGCCCAAACGTCCTGATCGTTTTGTCCTGTTCTCTAATTCAAGCTTCCACAAACCTCGTTTTGCTATTTCATTGTTTAATGAAGTTGATGGCTATAAGTCGATGCTAAAGGTTGATTTTGCCGTTAGTTTCAGATTTACGAGTTACATTTTCCAACTCGACTCAGATTTCATCGAATGAAGTTAAACTAATGTGGACAACAGAAACATTGGCTGCGAACGTCACCTATAATCTGACTTGGGTGGCAAGTAACGATATTCTAGAAACAGGAAACATGATGGCAACTTCTGATGGGGCCAATGTAACTGGTCTGAAACCTGGACACACATACAATTTCACCGTGTTGACGATTTTAGGACCAGACTTGTTCTATGGGCAAACGATTGTGAGAACACATAAAACACTTCAGACAGGTATTTTTTATCACAATTTTAAATTATAAAATAAAATATCTTTTTTTTAAAAAGGAAAAAAAAAACTATGTCTCTAACCCCTTTAATAACACAGGTTGCAAACTTTTGCAGCAATAATTGATTAAAACGAAAAAAAAATTAACCAACATTAAATATAAAGGCAATTTTTAAGACATAATTCAATGCTATTATAAGGTCGATGTATCCCAACAAATATTAATGTCGCCTGTATAAAATATAAAAATTAAATGTCACATTTCCCGATATTCTTTTTTTTTTATTTTAGATATGATCTTTTTTTCCGGAAATAAAGAAATACTGTCCTTTTTATTATATTTTTTACAAAGTATTTTGTCAGATCTATAGAATGCCATGCAAGCCTTGGTTAATCTGCTGGTAAACTTTTTAATTTTCAATCTGTGTAGCAATCGAATAATAACAATAAATAGAACAAAGAGTTTAATGTGTTTAGTCGTACAAATGACGTCACTACTTCGGCGATGTAAAATTCAAATTAAATCTCTTTTAACTATAATGCTTTTAACTTTAGACAATTTTGTCTAAATTGTATGTTCTTTATCTCAGTTAACTGTTTAAGTCATTCCTAATGGAGTAGTATATGCGCTATTTGTAATGTGTTTAGTAGAAAAATTGAAGATATTTTGAAACATCTGTTTGGAATCATATTTAAACATTATTAAATCGATAACCAACTGAGACTACATGTAGATATTGAAAAAACAAATCAATTTTTAAGGCTTTATTTTAAGATTTAACCATTAAGCTTTAAAATATTGTTGTTTTTTATTTTTTATCAATGCTGTAACATCTACCATACGCATTAGAGTGTTAGACTACTCTGAAAAAATTGCGTACATTTCTTTCTTTTCCGTGATTTTTTACTGAAAATGTGGCAGTTACGCTTTATACTTTATTCTTTTAACTTTCTCAGATGGTCAGGCTGTTTTATGTATGTTTTTCACAAATCTTGTTAATCGGTGTTACGAACAAAAACGTATCTGGTTTGTTAGTTTCGTTGTATGGGGGTTACGATCACTTAACAAACCATTGAATTAAGAGACGAACGTATCTTTATTAACTGTACAAGTCTATTACTAAACTTTATTGATAAAATCGTTCCTGATACTTGCGCCATAGACTCAATCACAGCACACTACACCATAATACGTCATTTCCCCTTCAGTAAAGTACTTATCAACAACTGAGGAAATTAGAGCAACATCTAACCAAATACTCTCCAAACAAACACACAATCACACAATAAATACAAGTCCTTAACAATCGGCACTGAGGTGTGTGTGGAAATTTTATTTTCCTTTAACAACCAGGTATTATCAAAGTTTTATTCTTCAAGATATTTACCAATATTGTATTTCCATTTATGTACAAGATAAGTACCTTAACCCAGCGTTTTCCAAACTTTTAAGTTTCATGGACCGGTGGACAAGTTTTGTAATTGCACCAGGGACCATGTGCCAGATTTATTAATTGCATTTTCTTTCTATTTAAGCATCAATATTGATGCTCTCTGTACCGGTAACGTAAGGCTCGCGGACCGTGACGGTCCACGGACCACTGTTTGGGGAACCCTGCCTTAAACAATACGTAAGGCTTATTCAAATATTTTAAAAAGGCAATGTACCATAGAACATCTCATTTTTATCACATGTTTTATTGGTATTATTTCTGTTTCTGCCTTGAAATTTACTCTTTTTCTATCAAACTAGTTATATAACTTAAAATGTTTGATGCTCCAATAAACTAAAGTTTTATAGGTTCGTTTTGCCTTCACAAAATGAGAAAAACGCTTAACGCATCGCAATACGGATGTAGTCAAACAGATGAATGTATTTATAGAGAGTGTTACTAGTAAACAGGATACAAATAAACTTGATAGCACTTCCATCAAATAGCTGACACAGTTAGCAATGGCTATGCATTTATGAAGTGTCTCAGTGGTGTTATTATTAAATATAGCAGGATTAGACGTTAAACCGAAACATTATTAATATTTACTTTTAAGTGGTGTACTTGTGTCAGAAATATAGTGAGCAGATCTGGAGGATAAATTAAAAGTGGGTTTTTTCCCCCATATATTAACATTCAGTTAAAGACTTCCTGGTCCCTTAAGTTTAATAATAGTTTTTTTTTTTTTTTTTTTTTTTTTTTTAAAATTTACTTTAAATTTTTTTTTTTTTTTTTTTTGTAATTTTTTTCTTTTTTT